GGTGCACCACCTGGGATTGAGCACGGCCGGCCGGTGACGGCTAATAAGTCAGAAATGGCAACTCCAGCCTCCCTTTGCCAGCAACACTCATCTGTCAATTTTTTTTCTTGCTGGGCTGCCGCCTCCCGGAAGAGCAGGAATCAGTTGCCAATACATTCTCCGACGCACGATTGGCGATCATCTAGGAGCACCGTGCAACCAAACTGTACTGTTGTACCATTTCTAATCGCCTACTTCCTAGCCGTGGAATATTAGGTTTTCAAAGCTTGTGTCATAAACTGCAGTTGTTTTTTCCTTCCCACGAAACCTCGGCCACGGGTTTCATTCATATGGTCAAATTTGGTACCACTCATACTTCGCTGAGAAGTTACAGCTGTCGTGTTTCTCCGTCTATTTTTTAGCTGATTGAAAGCAAACGTGCGGGTATTCGCCTCTCTGAACTCTTCAATGGCGGCCCAGTAAACCCCTCCGACGCAATTCCCCCACCAGTTCACTCCTCATTCGATGCGCACAACCGTCTTCTTCCAACTCCAGTCTCAGTCTCTGATGCCCCAGATTTACCGATAGAGGTCCCACCTCCGGCTAGTTCTTTGAAAAAGCAGGACTCCCCTCCACTCGCCTCAACACCACCCCAAGCACCAGCTACTTTGACGACTCCGTCTGCTTCAGTCATTCCTCTCCCCACCTCGCTCTTTGGAACTTCTGCAACCCAGCTCCCACCCACACCGCCCTCTCGCCCTGTCTTATCTGTCTCCACGCCGCCCGCCCAGGTGAAGAAGAAGAAGGGCTTTGACGATGAGCCGGCTGTCGATCGCAGTGGACTTGCAGTACGCTCTCTGGCTGCAGTCTCGGAAATTTGCGATGACCTTATTGCGGACCTGGTTAATGACCAAATTCTACAGGTAAACTTACTCTCTGTAGCAGCGTTTTTGTTTACTTTACATAACTGCCTACTCATTTCGTAGCAGTAAGCATGTTTTCTTTTTCCACTTTCGCGTCGGCTGTTACCACAAACGATCGACGTTGCTCTTCAATCCATCACATTGTACCCCGCCCCACATCGCGCTGTCTAACCAGGCACCGATCTTTTCAAACTGTCTCCTATTAATCAACAGGTGTTCATTAGCTATGACTCGTCCTAATCTCACTCGGTAGATCATGAGTTCGTAGCAGCAGCGATAGAACGCTAAGCTCAGTAACTAACCAACCTTCGTTTTGGGTCACTAAAGCGTCATTCCTACTTTCGTTATTGTTCCTACTTAAGCATACCCTTCAAAATGTTATTAAGAGGGTTTTCTACTGAAGTAGGGTACAATAGAGAGGCGGCGTCAAGTTATCTCCTCCAACATGGTCTCTTCGTAAAGGAAATCTTGCTGAAAGTGCAATGTACGAGTGATGTTTACGAACAAGGTCCGTAGACAGAATTTGTCCGTCTGAAAATGCAGAAGAAAAGGTTGCTATTCTTTTCGATCAATAGGAAAGGATGAACGAATTCTTCCATTATTGATTTAGACTGAAGACTCCGCTGTTATGAGTAGCGGTGTGCAATTTTTGAATAGTTTGTGTGTTTGCCACTGGAAGAAGTGTCAAAGCCTACTGCTACGTCCCTAAATTCTGTGGTTGACTGATTAAATAACTGCCGGGCAGTCTGCTCTGAAATGGTGTCTGTTGTTAAGAGAGGAAAGCTGAATATAACTCTTGAAAACTCAATAAAAAAGATAAGGCCAGCTTTGCAGGGTGTCATAATTACAATCTTGAACCAGGCAAAGAAAACGGTGGTGGCCCAGCACACAAGTATACGCACCACGGCTCAAGTATTGGTGCTTTCACATACAAAAGCAAGGTGCGGCGACGTTCATCCTTATCATTTAACGTTGAGTAACAGCAAGTTCAGCTGTCTATCGACGAATTAATCAGGGCGGGTACGATCGAAAAACCGTTATTCGCTAGAAAACTTATGTTTATTCGAATATATAACGGTGCACACCCAGCAAATCGAGAGGATTTGATTAGGCGGCAAGATTCAGAGTTTAAGGAAAAATCGCTGAATTCTACAGCATTTACTTCAGGATGAACCTTGTTGGCGTGTTTTGAGAGCAAATGAAGGCCACTGCATAGCAACTATGCGTGGTATTCGAGAAGTATTTGTTGCTTACTCGTTATTCAATTAGAATTTAATTCACGCAATTTAGATGATACATTTTCAATCTGAACCAGATCGTTGACCAGTACGTATTATGTTAGTCGTACCCCTTGTTTGAAAACTTGGGAAACCCTTTGAGCACCCTCATAATGTCCAGTGTTGACCAGATTTGTGCCAGGATGCTGGTGAATGCATGAACTGGTGTGGCGGATAGCCAAGATTGCTGGCAGACTTCCTTGTTCAACGACCCCTGTCTCAAGGTCACGCGACTTTGCAGGCCCGCTGACCTGAAGACTCTTGACC